GGCCTTATGAAGACCCTTACTCATGATATACGCATAAAGAATTCCAGCCATGGAAAACTGGGAAATGGTGTTGGCAATAGCAGAACCACTGTAAAATGTATTTTATAGTATGATACTGGTTATGCGATTATAGCAGTAATGGTGATAGTGAAGGAGCCATTTGAGGTCTATTAAAAAAATACTCACGCTACTCCCAGATTCAATGCATAGAGAACAATGTAGTTGATGAGAGCGTTAAGAAGATTGACCACAAAACCCGTAAATACCTGTGGCCATATGATGCCCTAAAGAAAAGTGCCACATATTATTCACACTGGATGCTGGCAAAGTGACAACCCAGAGATGCTATAGGAGATCCATAAGAGTCCGGCCCGTTCTTGTGAAAACGATATCTCAGGAACTCCTTGAGGGAATTTCTTCACATTTGGCACAAACACCTACTTGGACTCAAGAACAATCTGACTAGATTTTGGTGGTCAAATATCAAAGCTCAAGGTCATAGTGACCTCACTGGACTCCTCATCTAGACAAGAAAGATGCGTGTATGGGGAGCCCTGGCCCCGTTGCCGTCTGAGTTTGGACAGCTGTAATCTCTGTCATATCCATATGCACCCTGGGGTCACAGTGGAACCAAATGAATAGAATTTCCTGTATGTTTGATCCACTCTATCATTTACAGAGAAGCGTGTAAATAACTCATTCATATAACGAACATGTTTGTTTCTGCACTTCAGTAGGTTTCTTATACTTGAAAAATAAAGAACTTACCTGGTTTTGCAGATATCTTGTTTCCAATGAATACATGAAAGTAGCCTGTAAAGACAGAACGCAAAGAGAAACACATTGATCTCTGAGTTGCACATAATTGGACAAAACAGACATTATCTATCACTTTTAAGAAATGTTTAATTTTACTCAAGTTCAAGGGCACAGTTGGCAGAGGCTGCCACCTGTCCTAGAATGCAGTTGATAAAAAGGACACTTCTGAGTTTGCCTGAGATTTTTTGTTCAAGTTTTAATAATGGCTGTAATTTGTTCTTATGTTACAAAGTGCTAGAAAGCAGCCTTTTGTTTGGTCTCTGTCTCTCACTCCATATGGGTGAACTGGCCTGAGTAGCTGGACGTGTCTTTGGCGCAGCTGTGGTGCATTTCCTGATCAGCCTGATAGTATTTAGCCTAAGCTGAATCTCTTCCCGGTGTCAGTCAGTTCTGATACACTGCTCTGGCTAACCTTTGCTATTCTGCTTTGTCTGTGTTACTTGCTTACTTACTTACCCATTAGTCATAACACCTTTTCAGTGTCAGTATTTACCCATAGGGTGTCGATAGTTTGTCAAAAGTTTGAATGTAGGATTAAAAGACATTGGTTGTATAATTATTCATACTCACAGGAAGTGCTGGCATAAAAATCTTCACATACATCTGAGCCAACCTAGAGAGAGATATTCCATCAGAATGAACAAGAAGTGAACAAACAGAGGGGAAGGGTGTGCATTTTATGTCAGCTGACCTGGCCACCTCTGGATCCTGTCTGACAGCCAACAGAATGGGCTCTGTGTTAATGAGGATTGCCCAGCAGGGGAAACACGCCAGGAGCAAAATGAGAATCGCCCGCTGCAGAATGACCCCAACTCTCAGCAGGTTACGGCTCCCAACGGTCTAAAGCCAGAGTGTAAAGTCTTACATATTTGCTTTACTTATTTTTATGTCTTACTTCTTATTACTTTTACTCATAAAACTCTTGGCAATACTTGTACCAGTGTGTGACAGGCAAAGACTCATACCTGCAATACTTGTACTGGTGTGTGACAGGCAAAGACTCATACCTGGGAAATTAGAGTATCGCAGGCTGATGACAAACTATTGCCAATTGATATACCTGTTACATTAATAACCTGAAGATATAACAGAAACAATGGCAGATTATGTTTTGCTGCTCTACTGGTTTAACTTGTATTTTAAGTAATGTTACTTACTGCTATGGCCAAAGCCACTCCTGCCAGCTCTGTCTTCCCCAGATGGCCACAGAAAACAGTACTAACAAAACTCACTGAAAAAACCATAAGCTGGGCCATAATCTGATGAGAAAAAAAATTAGGTGGAATGAAAATGAGCTGGGACACCAGATTTTTAATTATTATTAATCTAGCCACAGGGGTTGCAAGCCAGTGACTTCTGTGCCAGTCCCAAGCCCAGATAAATAGAGAGGGTTGCGTTA